GGCAACCAAGCAAGCTTCGGCGCTAAAATTTTGCCAGTGGGTTCTCCGGCAAAGAACAGCGGTACTAACCTTACTCCGTCTGAGCCCCGCCTCCGAGCAAATGAAAATTTTGGCGGGAAAATTGCTAGCTAGGAAGCCAGAAAAGCTGGAGTGTTGGAATTTTAATAGAACGATCCCCATTTAAGCAACATTGAAAGGTTTCAAATTCAGCTCCCAGTTATACGTGGTGTTCACGTGCGAACACTTAAAAGTTTGTGTGGGAAAATTGCTCACTGAATAGCCAAGACATTTTCAACAAACAACCGTTAAAATGGGGATGTTCATTTTCCTTTATGCAAAATTTACAATGATTTTAAAACTTAGCAACAGTTTTTGTTCAAATAATGACTTTACTGGCGACATACACACACAATGAACAAGCGGTTGGTACCAACTGAAAGCATGCAGTTCAGGATCGAAGGGCCTAGCACAGCTACGCTAGGCGTGCTGTTTTTTCCCCTTCATTTTAGTGAGCAGTTTGGCTTTGCAGGTTTCTTATTTGCGCCTCAAATTGCAATGGAACTGAAAGTACCCTTTGTGCCGATCAGGAAGAAGGGGAAATTGCCCGGGAAGACACATCAGGAGGTATATATCAAAGAATACGGAGAAGTAAGTCGCTTCATTGGCTACCCATTAAACAGCATTTTTTGATACTTTTTTGCTTATCTAGCATCTGTGTTTTGTAAACGTTCTCGACTGTTGCTCGAGCAGTATTTTACGGTGTGACATATGTCCTTCCGATAACTTTAGCTTTACTGCCTTTTGCTATTTGCAAGTCTTTTTCAGCCGATATTGATGGAAGCATGCTTCCTAGCAGATCACTTAGCTGTAAACCTGAAATTTTCTCGCACAACAAAAACGCAATCTCGGCTTTTCTTGTTCCACGACAGTTATGTCCCACACAATCCAGGACAAATCCAGACAGTTAACGCTTAAAAAACTCTTGCTGTGAATTTCATGGAAAGAAAAATGCCCGTGCTGCAGCAAACTGCTATCGGCCGCCTTCCATTCTCGTAATTGCCTAGCTCCGGAGAAAACCACTGTTTCAGGCTCCTAAAATATAGTGGAATTTTGCGCATTCATAACTTCTCCCATCTCATTTGTTCTCTTTTTCGGCGCACTTATCTAAAAATCCAAAAATTTTAGTAGCTTCCACTTTTTAGTAGTTTTATTAGTTCCCACTCAGGAAAAAGTCTTATCCTTCTGCTATCCTCTTCCCCCTACTTCTAACAAAACTGAGGCCAACAATCGATGGATGCCGGGAATTTCTTGATTTTTTTCTTACTTCTGTTTCCATAAGAAGCATTCATGTTGTGTTGCTGAGCGTGGCGTAGTGCTAAATATAGTGGTTCTCAAGCTGAATCTTGAGGATTTCAACCATCCCCATCGTAACAGTCACTCCTTTTATCATTTATTCATTTACTTTGGACTTAAACTGATACCGATGCAAACAGTGAGATCAGGTTCATCATTACTTTACTTCTGACATTCAGTTGTTTGACTTTTTTTTTTTTCTAATATAAATTTTACTTCATAACACCTCCATTCTAAACAACACTTATCGGAGGGAACCATCAATAGCCTTGCTAGCAGGTGGTTACTGTTAGCAAGTGCTGTCACTTAAATTTGTTTCGAGTGCCTCCTTCTTTAATAGAGGATAAATGGGGAGGCTTTAACTCGTAATGCATGCAGTGGCGCTTAAGCGACAGTCCAGGGGGAGCCTGAACTTTCAGAACTTCATTATTAATTTTGCATAAATTCTAGATTCGAAAAACTTGAGACGTTAAATAAGTGTGTTCAAAAAAGCGGAGGAATATGTTGAATGTGTGGGGTTGAGTATTATATCCTTGTGATCTTCTCAAGCAGAATTAGTCGTGACTTTTCTATTTCGGCTTCGGATAGTCAGAACTGTTGGCTGTTAGAAGCTTGGAACGGGCTTACGGCTTTTTTCGAGTCGGACCTGAGATCTTTTTTTTTCAAAAGCAAAATTTTTCAGGATGTAATCGAGGTGCAGGTGGACGCGATCAGTCAAGGTTCGAAAGTGTTGTTAGTGGACGATCTGTTGGCAACGGGCGGAAGTCTGAGGGCTGCCGTTTCACTGATCGAGAAAGCGGGTGGCGATGTTGCAGAAGCATTTACACTGATCGAACTTGCCTATTTGAGTCCGCGGAAGCATATCCCCGAGCATATTCCCATCTATTCGCTGATCACATTAACGGAATGACAGTGCGAAAGGAAATAGCCAGCCGCACTTCTCATGTTGCTGCTGCTCCAGTCTGTGATGTGCGCTGTATTTTCCGTGCAAAACCACCGTCCTCCGACTTTTGAGATGAGTTCCTCCTCTTCCTTCTCCTCCAAAAGATCTCCTTTATAATCCTAAAGTTAGATTCTCACTGGAAGAATATCGTCCCACGATTAACTTCGTTTCTTTTTGCCCTGGAGGGAGGAGGTGTTTTGCTGTTGGCTGTAATTATGTGGAAGAATTGCGTACGGTGCTGCTTT